GTTGTGTTTGTGTTGTGATAGCACCAGGACATCTCTCTAACCACTACATTATATTATCAGCCAGTCATGCGGCTCCATACATGCTGAGTACTGTTGAGGCCTATGGCGTTGTCCTTGTGTGAACAACTACTAAGATACCCTTTAAAACATTTGAGTCATAAAAAGAGATTGAATCAATATGAAGAAAGCACACAAAAGTGATGTGCTGCCTGTAATGAATTTGTACTTTAGCACAGTGCATGAAAACTATGCTTACATAAACGTCTCCGCCTATGATGGAGTTGTGAGCACATTTTTAGTTTTTTGTTTTTTTTTCAAAATAGTAATAATTGACACATACTGAACACAAAATAACTATTAAAATGTAGTGATTTGTCACATTTAGCTCTTTTTGCCCTCCATTTGCTCAACACTTTCTTTTAAAACATTATGGTAATATGACTAATGCTTCAGCTCATCCTTTTAAATGGCCCTTTAAGTAGTAGTCTTTATTAATAGACTCTCTAATCGTCGTGCTGCTCTGAGGTTTCCAATGTGTTCATCCTTCCATTTTCTTTTGAGCAGACAGACTTTATCAAACATGGGCTGATAAGGTTTTTAAACTTCTTGACTTTGCCAATGGCATTTTGTTCAACTGTGCTGGAGCTGACATTTATACTGGGTCCTCCAAGAGCCCCAAATACCCTTTTGCAGGCGTTGTTCTGGGCCAAAAGTGAAAAGTTACCTCTGATACCAACAGACAGCGGGCCTATTTATGCAGCCTTTACGGTCGATAAAGCGGTTTCTGTGCAGGGCATGCCCACAGAACAAATGTTTAAGAGAAACAGGAATGTCAAATAGTGTGTAGTTTTATCTAATGGCTGTGCATTTCTAAATGTCACCCATTTGCAAACGAAAAGGCTTCAATGAAGACAACTAAAATCATAAGCAACTTTGATTTTCCTGTTTTTTATGCATTAAAATACATTTATTTTAGTTTAATGCCCATCTGCATTTAGCATACTAGTGGTTAATAACCAGAACAAAAACTTGATGTGTATGATCAAATGCCATAGTAAAAGTTCAAGAGAAAAGTGCTAAAACATATATATCAGAGTGGATTTTCAAGTATCAAACTTAAGCAACATTTAAATTTGGATCTTTAATGTCTCTAATGTGATTTCAACAGTATTGGCTGTACACTGCTGTTATTAGGGCTGTCAGTCATCAGCCGTTTACCAGTTGTTCTCAACTGTTTTGGCTCGAGTATCCCCTATGCTTAGTCTTAAACGCCACGTAATGGGGGAGTATGAATTATATTGATATTAATAGTGATCATAGTTTTTATGATTGATATCCACATCACCCAACAAAAACTCCAGAAGCATGTATAATTTTTACATTAAAATGCTTTTAAATTTTCCCTTTTTTTCTAAATCTGAAATCATTTCAAGTATCCCTTGGTAAGTGTTTGTGGATCTCCAGAGGCCCAAGTACCCCTGGTTGGGAAACACTGGTTTAGTCCATCATTCGTCATTGATGTCCTAGTTGACAAATCTGTTTTGGTCAACTAATTATATATATTTTTTATTATAAAGTAGAAAAGGGAAGACATGGAGTGAAAATTTGGGAGTGAAACATGAGCTAATTGTACAGTACACTGTTTCCTAGTACTTTTTGTATAAATAGGCTAGTTGTAGTCTTGTGTTATCAGTGTGAGTCAGATATCTGATTAGATTATAAAGCTACTGAAAGGTTTGGGCTTCTTTTTCTAGCTTTATGCTACTTTCTCTTTTAATTAACTAATCAAGTGGTAGAACATTTCTGTAGTTACCGATGATTTATAGCTTTTCTAGCTGCTACAATGTCTTTACAAGAGTCTTCTTCACCTTGCATTTCCGAATCATCATTATAGGAATATAGTTTTATTTTTCAATTTGCAATTTTACTGAATGTTTAACTGCCATCAGCAGAACTGATTGGTCTCTATAGCCAATCTGTTGTTGTTGTTGTTGTTGTTGTTTTTCTTTTTTTTTTTTTTTTTTTTTTTGCCATGTTCTTAAACATATTGTGCCCATGGATACCCCACTCTCAAGGCAATTAAGGCAAGTTTATTTGTATAGCACAATCTGTACACAAAGTAATTCAAAGTGCTCACACTCACATCGTCTTCCTGAAATCAGACCAACTCCACATGTTTGAACAGGGAGTGGTGGGTGTACTCATGGCACAGGATAAAGACAGAATGAAGAGGAGGCAGAGGAGATGATTTTGTTTTACTAGTTAGACATTCTCTGAGAAGCGATATTGGAAATAGTTCTGATTTGAAGCTATCTCTGTCTTCGGGACACAGACGCTCCAATTCCATTTTTAGTGTTGGATTTTAAGTCGCATGTTGAAACCCTTGCATAAAGAGATCCTCACTGAATGTTGGATCCCTTCAGCTGACTTGGCATGAATACCAAAGGAGTTCATTAAATCAGTCCAATCTAATAATGGTGATTCAGCCTCATGTTTGGAACGTGACCCCCCCCTTCTCCAGGCCGTGTCCCGAGAGACTGTCAGGGCTCTGAAATCCCCCTTGAAGAGTTTATGGACACGATTTACCACAGAGGTTAACTTATCCGCGCAAATCATTCCTTTTTCATTTGCCAAAACAGTCCGACCTACATGATTTACAAGTACAGTAGCTGCAGACATGAAATCCAAGGGCAAGTCAAAGCTGCAAATCATACAGTGGGTTTCGCCTCTCTATTTACAACCCATCTGTGTCACGGAGAGCGCCATATTCTAAATCTGAAGGTACAAATTACGGCGCTTTCCATCGCACTAATGAGGTGTTTAGTTTCATGTGTGTCATGGCAAAGAAAAACTGGGACAGTGTGTCACGTCTGCCCCGAGAGAGACAGGAAAATCTCCCCAATGATTTCTAAATATTATGCCCATCATTGACTAAGAGCCCATTGGCCTCCTGACATATCACTCACTGATTTGAACTACATAGACATGACCTAGACATTGAAGGTTGGGATTATAGGATTTAGATCACATTTCGGAATTGGAACTTTTTTTTTTTTCCGAGTGGTGACAATTTACTTGCTTAGTAGAAATGTATTGCAGCTACCCAAGAACAGTGCCCATCAACCTCTATGACATACCCGTAATGTACACCGTGTTCATGTCCTTGGGCAAGACACTTGGGAATTTATGTGTGACAGATAATGAACGAAGTGCCTGAACACCATTGAAACAAATTCTCTTTTAATTTAGATTAAACTACAATAACTCGTATAGCTCCATCACTCCCATCATCTGTGTATATGACAGAAGACAATTCTGCATTAGAGTGTTCTCTTCTTAAACTAACATAAAAGACATTTTCAGACATTCTGGCTCATTAAATGTAAATAAGTGTTGCAACAACAAACAATTTAAGACTACTTTTCTTAAATTGAAGTTTCATTTAGTGTTTGACTACTGCAGTGTGCGACTATATCATACATCTTACACCAACATTTAAAAGTTAAATGGAAGCTGATTGGATATTAGCGCTCAGATCCATTTGTTCGACCCTCATTTAGATTAGGTTGTGCCAGTGGAACACTGCTTTGACAATGATTAAGTAAAAGATGAGACTGAAGAAATACAGGCCACAATCAAGTATGAGCAAAGATTTTTGTGCACATTTAGATTTTGTTAGTTGAAGTTGCTTTAAGCATAGATTATGAAAGGGTTTGTTCTGTCCCTTGTCCCTTGCTCGGCACTCATAGATTGTCACAAATCACTGCCACGCCACATCACGCAGAGCACCAAGGCTTCAGGACAGGAAATCAATGGGCTCTCGTGGGCCACTCCATCAGGCCGAATATCCTGAGCTTGATGGCGGAGAGTGGGCGGCGGCGCGGGGCATTTGCAGAGTAGGAGACGCGGCCGGGCCCATTTAGCCTGGGGGTAATGCATCAGCGCTGGTTGGTTTACATCCGCTTTGAATGAAATTGTACTGAGAATGTACTGGTTATTGTTGCAGCTTTGGTGTGATTTCTTGAACTTATGGTGCCCATTTCAAAGAACTAATGACAGCTATACACTTTGACCTCTGGAATGCAAAATAGTATCTGTTTCTGTAGTTCTTTTGTAGATACCTTCTGTTCCATTATGCACTTTTACATTATTTTTTGCATAAATTTATCAGCATTACTCAAGTATGTATTTTTATTTTATTTTTTTTTACATCTCGCATTTTGATCAAAGAATGGGTAAATAAGCGAACATACCCAACAGTAAGCGCTTCTACACTGTGCAGCTCTTGCAGGAATATAGTGTGAGTAAATTATGCAGTGTGAACACAAGCCTATCTCAAAGGATTTAAAATGAATGTCTCTGCTGATTGCATTAAAAAGAAAAAAAAAATCCCCAAACAAAGTAGAAAGTCTTTGTTTAGCTTTTCACATGAGGCATTGCCATTTGCTGAAACTACTGATGATGACAACTGACAATTTCTCCTGACATGAGAGGGGAAAGTAGCTTGCAAACTGACTAGATTCACTATTTACCTCAACATTTTACCCTTCTTCAAAGATAGAAAATAAAGTCTTATACTCTGAAAATAAAGTGATCTGAGAGAGAAGGGCAGTTTCACTGACTTGGAAAAGCAGTGTTGAATGTAGTTATACAAGATCTTTAAATAAGAGCAGCAGCCCATAAAAATGATACCATGAAAATGTCTCCAACAAACAATTTAACATTCTCCACTAAAAGTGACTGAAGATATGATTACCGCTGGTTTCAGGCAATGCATGCAAATGTTATGTAAAATGTGAAGTGCTTGTCCAGGTTGTGACTGATTTACTCCAATTTTCCCCAATTTGCTGCTTGATTTCCTGCCAGGCTCAGGTTTTGTTGATTAGATTTAGACAATGAATGTTGCTCATACACTGGAACTCACAACTCACACCAGCATATTTGAACAGCAGTGTGAAAGTTGTGAACAGTAATCTAACTGCTCTTGTCTTCTCTTCCAGTGGCCGACAGTAGGATTCTTCTGGATGGCCTACAGAGGTATGGTCCCACACCGATCTACCTGCCTGTCAGCTATCAAATCCTAAATGCCGAGTCAGCATTCTTCCTGCAGGAGGCAAACCAGGACCTAATGAGGAACTCCAGCCTGCAGGCTCGAACAGAGTCTTTCTTCATTCACCAGGCACGTCACATGCCCTACATCAATGCCAGCTATGGGCCACTTTCTGTGCAGCAGCCTGTCCCTTTGGAGATGCTGCAAACACTGCCTGGACCTTTCAATAGTCCTTCTTTTACATCATCATCAGAGCCAGCACCTGAGTCTGAGGCACTCTTTACGTTTAACTGGAAGATGCATACATATATAATCAATGAGAGGATCCACCCCAGCATGCCTAAAGTGCAGGTTCTATTCTATGTGGCTGGTCGGAACTGGGACGATTATAGCACAGTAAAAAGACTGCCCTGCGTGCGCATGTTTGCCTTTCACGAGACTCAGGAGGTGCGGGGCAATTGTCGCCTCGAAGGGGAGCTGGGCATGTGTGTGGCAGAGCTGGAGCCCTTGGCCAGCTGGTTCAGCCCCCCCACAGTGAGGCCTGGCCGTCAGAGGGTATCAGAGGAGGCCCAGGGCACGCCTGTGGAGCTCTACTATATGCTCCAAATGACTGAGAGTGGGGATTGTAGCTCTGAGGACACCAGACGAGCCAGTGCCTCTCACACAGAGCAGCCACGACCTATGGGCTATTATGCCGGGCGCACACCCATGCAGCGCATTGGCAGTGTTCGCCTCTTTCAGCCTCTGTTGGAGCTCAAACTGGACAATAACTTTGTGGTGATGTCGCCCTCCAAACCCATCCGGCAGAGAGAGACCGTCTCCACCTTTCTGGCCCTGTCCACGCTGTCCTCTGTGCAGATATTCACCTTAAGGTAAGTCACTCTGATCAATGCCATTATAGTGTGGGCTCCTGTCAGTCACCTGGTCCTTTGGGCTATTGTCCCTCAGAGGTCACCATAGTGAACAATATATATGAATTTCCCACAGAATGTGTTGAAGTTGAATGGCTTATATCTCTCCTTAAGTATAAATGGTTATGCCAAAATGTCTAATGTGGCATGCTCATCATGTTGTGAGCCTGGATGCATTTCTAATTAAAGCAAAGATTAAAAAGAACATTCATAATTAGGCTGATGATTCTATGACTAATCTTGATATTTAGTCTGTTTTGTGGCTGTGCAGATCATATCTAGGGCTTGGTACTATCTTGTTGTGGATGTAAGCTCTCCAGTAGTGGGCCATTGTACAGTGATAATGGTCTTGAGAAGATAGTGTGGTTGGAAAGCAGCTGTTTCATCAGAATAATCACCGGTTGGCCGATGGAAAGAAGAATTGGCTTTAGCGAGGAGGCCTTGTGCGGTTGATAAGCTTTTGATTTCAAACGTCGTCCTGGAGTCCACACACAGAGTTGCCATGACACTGCTATTATACTGTCCAGCAGCTCAAAGCTCTTTTATTGAGGCTGTTTATGCAGCTTTTAATGAGCATCATCACAGAGAAATTAGAAAATAAGGACATTGGCACACTACAGCTTTTAGCTACATAAAGTAAATACAGTAACGTTTATTATTCAGACAATGTGATGGAACAAAAGTTTTTTTTGCTTTCCCAAATTAACCCAATGCATTTGAAAATAAAAGTAGTATTAAATGCATCATAATGTACGAGGACAGTATTTTTTTTCAAACATTATATGATGTAAATATAAATAAATATATTGGACTGGATGCTTCTCCTGTACATTTAAGTAAAACAAAATATGTTTGCAGACTTGAAATGATAATTACTATAATAATAATTACTCAGTTAACACTTCTAGAGAGTTTTACCATACTGGCTTGTTTGCGTCTTCTCCGACCTTAGTAGTAATTTGGAGGAAATGAATAACACGATACACACTCTGTAAACCTCTTCAGTGTGCCTTTCTCCAGGGAGCCGTTTGGATGGAGCATAACACCAAACGACGCCTTTGTGCATTTTATGAAGATTGTTTAATGTGTTCACCTTGAAACCTGCTCATCTGAGGAAAGATCTGATCAGATGTGATTCCACGTGAAGGGGCCACATCAAGTTTGTGTTGATTTATCGTGCTTTGTCAAATACAAATTACCATTCAAAGTGACTGTAATTGTGCACGTTGCCAGATGCAAATGAAGCTTTAAGGAATATGCGTTTCCATTGGGCTTTTTTTTGTGCCCCAGATCTAAATCCTGGCAGATGAAACAGTTAGCAGCCTCAAAGTAGAGCCGTGACAGAGTGCCTTGGCAATTTGTCAACCCTGGGTGAGCAGGAAATCTGCCAAAAGGCCTCATTGCTTTTTCTCTCACTCCAGTGATGATGAACTCCCATGAAGTATTAGCTTTCGCACTGCTTGTTTATCACATTTGTCAGCATGTGTGTAAGTGGCAACTTTAAAGGCATGGCGTCTTTCTTCTCACACCAAAGTTACACTCCAATTTTCAGAAGTTTAACATGTAACATTTTGCAACACTAAGATGTACTGTATAGTAATAGGCAATATTGGCAAAAAACATTACTACAAGGATTTTTGGGTGTATTCTTGGCTATTTTCACAATCCATGTTATTATTTATTAATGTCTTGGTTGATGTACAAACATCACAGGTGGTACCCCAGGGTGAAAGAATGTGCTTTGTGTTTATAGCATTGTAATACCAATTTTTCATATTTTGCCATTTGAAATAAAATCTTATTCACAATGCAAGTTCAAAACCTCTCAGAAAGCTTGTCTATGTTGGCCTAACGTTCAATTTGGACAAGAGCTACAACCTTTGCCTTTCATTTATCTTGCAGCACCAAACCTAAGAAATCTACCCCTCTGAGCCCCTGGAAGCCGTGATAACACAAACATTCCCTCATAATAGCCTTTAAGCACTTAATATCAGTGGTGATGGTGTGTTGGCATGTCTGTGAGCGCTGCTGCTGGGGGAGGTGAGGAGTGTGCACAAGCCTTAAGAGCTCACAGCCCAATGCCAAGAAAGTGGCTCTCGTCGTGTCAGTGTTTGTATACCGTCAGCTAATGTTTGCCTATTCATGAGTGGGTGTGTTTACTGCCAGATGAGTTTACAAGCAGCTCTGGCGATGTTTCTCTCAGCAGTTAGGGCATCATTAAATATTAATGTTCTCTGGAGGTACCCCTGCCTCCCGCCTATTATCTTGGCTTTCCTTATACAGGCCTTCTGCGCTGCTATGAACGATCTCTATGGACAGATGTTCACAAATGCCAACGTACCCTGGAAGAAATGTTCTCATAATATTTAACAGGCAATTGGACTATTCACAGCAATCAGGTTAGACACTGGTAAACGGTATCCAGTCTTTGATGCATAGCATTGCACTTTTTCACACTAACTTGTTAAGACATACAATTGAATTCTTGCAGGCACAGAAGTAAACCTCATTGGTCCATGGATCTACTCATGCCCCATTACTACCTTCAATCAGAGTGAACCCTTTCCACAATCAGCATAAAATATGAGATGCATAATGTTAAATGTAATGCATTTCAATACATGTCCCTAGCTTACATTTTGCCTGTTCAGCAGGTTTGCACAGTAAAACCTGGAGTCCAACCTCCACAGCAATTACACTGACCATATTGCCTCTCTTATATCGTTAAGGTATTGTGTAATGGACTGCATTTGATCTAATCTAATGTAATATAATTATTTTCAATGTAATTACAGGCATTTAATCTGCTGGAGAGAAAGCACCCTTTCATGAATATTCATCAGATCCACTTGCACTTGCACAGACGTATAGATGTGATCACTTTGACAGTGCTTGGTGCCAACTGTAAAGCCATGGTGTGTTTGTCATGCTAAAGGCTCCCCAGTGGAAAGGCTCATTTGTGCGCTCTGTGGCTCATTAGCCACACAGCCGAGTGGTGTTACAGGTTGGAAAGCGTTCTGCAGCTAGTCCTTATTTAACATGCAAATGAAAACACCATTTTCTCCTGAACAAATTAACAGGCTTTTCAAAAGATAAATTGCCCCAGCTGTATTGTAATTTTGACTAAACAATCCAACATTTTCCCACAGATCCCCCTAAGGGCTGTGCTGCTGATGAATGCAAATGAATTTCTAATATCTGAGAGTCTGAAGGTATAACCGTGAGCAGCCACCATGTTCGGCATACTTTTGTACCATCCCAAGAAAGTGAAAGGAATGGAGCTTGTGGTTTATATGGCTAGCTGTTAAAACTGAAAAGGTCAGCCCATACTTCACAAGACTTCTAGTGCAACTTTTATGTTCTAAAGTCTTTATTTTCGGTTACTCTGGAGTGAAATAATGCCCTGTTTTTCTGTTACACAATGATACCGATGGAAATCTTTGTGCACAAGAAGGTAGCATCCCCAAAGAACTGAATCAATTTGTCATTCACAACAAATTCAGAAACCAGAACCTTTCAGCTTGTTTATGTTTTGCTTGTGTTCCATTTCAGTGGAGTTACAAAATGAAATGGAAGAATACAATGAGTTTAAATAATGCAGGAAATTCGAGCATCCACATGTCAATCTCAGTCTTTATCGGCCAAATTCCTGAAAGCGTTAGTGTTACTCAGCCTTGCTAGTGCTTGTTTTCAATGTTGTTTTTGTGTTTTTTTATTGAAGCTCACTTGTGGTATTTTACATTGCTCTCCAGAGAGAACAGGGACGCGTTGTAGATGTCTGATGGTGATCCTTGACACAGTTCACATTTACAGGTCGCACTCTCGGGCTGTTTATGAGCCATTGTTTGGTGAAATATCAGCCCTGGAAAGGTTGGAATAAAGATGTTCTCCTCTGCGTATTAGCCTTATCTTGACTGCACTCCTGTGATTCAGTCCTCGCTAAAGGTCACCTCCGATAGGTACGTCTCTTTTTCATTTCCATTTCCGTACTTATCTGTACTTTTTCATGTCTTTTATCAGCTGCTCTGTCCCCTTTCCTCCTCCTCTTCACATTTTGTGTTCTATAACCTTTCTCTTTGTGTTTTTTTGTACTCCCCTAAATGTGACAACCTGCCATCTTCCATTGCTGAAACAAAAGCAGGACACTTGTTGGTTGACATCCCCCACTTGCATGCTGTGAAATGCTGTCTTTTATTCATCATATCTTTGACCCATGAGAAATGTGAACTCTCCCAAGACTGCATTTTAGTGGTTGTGCAAATATGAAACCGGGTAAGGTAGCTAAGGCAGAATTTGGCTCCTTCCAGTTGGCGCTGAGAGGGGTAACATGTCAAGAGCAATGAGCAACTGCAGTAGCACGTCCAGGGACCACCTCTTATGAAGCCAGGATCTGTAGCTGAAGAATTAGCCATGCATGTGCTTTAGGTTGAGAGAGAAAACCCTCTAGAGACTTCAATAAGCTGTGCCAATGGTCCTCTTTGGTTATTCGGGGGGTGCAAAAATATCAAAATATCGATATATCGTATAGGCTAATATGATGATACAATATCGATATCGTGGGCTGCTGCATCGCTATATCACCAACAGTATTTTTTGGTTTATTTTACCAAATTATTTTGTCACGTTTGCTACTGTTTTGTTGTTTGTTTAAAGGAAGGAAACTTCTTTATATGACACATTTGACATTTTCATTGTTTTGAGGATTAAAATGTTTGTGTTTCATAATCATTTTGTACAAGAAGTGGTTTAACAAAGATTTTTAGTTTCACAGACATTATTTTTTACTGAACCGTATCGAATCAATTTGAAATATATTGAATCGAAAGTGCACTGTATGAAGATATGTATCATATCTTGGCCTGTGTATCAAGATATGTATTGTATCGGCAACTTCGTAATGATACCCAGCCCTGTTGGTTATACTGTTTAAAGCACTGGATGATACCGTTTATATTTTTTCC